AAGAGGAAGGAAGGGGAAGTTATACATGTGTGGCTTGGTGCCTTAGTCTGTTTTGTGCTGCTGTAACAGAATGCCAGAGACTGGGTAATTAATTAATTAATTTGTCTATTTTAACTTCTATTTTAAGTTCAGGGGTACATGTGCCGGTTTGTTATACAGGTAAACTTGCATCATGCGGTTTGCTGTACAGGTTATTTCATCACCTAAGTGTCAAGCCTAGTACCCATTAGTTATTTTTCTTGATCTGCTCCTTCCCCCCATCCTCCATCCTCCAATAGGCCCCATCATGTGTTATGCCCCTCTATGTGTCCATGTGTCCTCACCATGTAGCTCCCACTTATAAGTGAGAACATGTAGTATTTGGTTTTCTGTTCCTGTGTTAGTTTGCTAAGAATAATGGCCTCCAGCCCCATCCATGTTCTTGCAAAGAACATGATCATTCTCCTTTTTTATGGCTGCATAGTATTCCATGGTGTATATGTACCCCATTTTTTCTTTATCTGGTTTATCATTGATGGGCATTTATGTTGATTCCATGTCTTTGCCATTATGAATAGTGTTGCAATGAACATATGCATGCATGGAGACTGGGCAATTTGTAATAAAAAGAAATTTCTTGGCTCGCAGTTTTAGAGGCTAGGATGCCCAGTTCAAGGTGCTGTTGGCCTAAAAGGAAGAAGCTGAGACACAAAATGTAATTTAAAGAGTTTACTTGGGCCAGGTGCTGTGGCTTATGCCTATAATCCCAACACTTCGGGAGGCCAAGGTGGGCGGATGACCTGAGGTTAGGAGTTGGAGACCAGCCTGGCCAACATGGTGAAACCTCGTTTCTACTAAAAAAAAAAAAATACAAAAATTAGCTGAGTGTGGTGGTGCATGCTTATAATCCCAGCTACTCGGGAGGCTGAGGTGGGACAATAGCTTGAACCTAGGAGGTGGAGGTTGCAGTGAGCCAAAATTACGCCACTGCACTCCAAACTGGGCAATAAAGTGAAACTTCTTCTCAAAAAATAAAAATAAAAAATAAAGCATTTACTTGAGCCAAACTAAAGACAGTTGTGTGGGACACACTTCCAAGTTGCCTTGGGAAGGCTCCATTGGCCTTGGTTACCGGCAGGTTTTGAAAGGCAAAGGGAACAAGGAGTGAGCTGATAGGAAGTTGTTGGACCCGAATTCTCACTGGTTTAAGAGAAAGCAATGATCAGTGTTTGGCTATACATTGTTGAACTACAGAGTGAGAGTATGAGTTACAGTGTCCAGTATATGGCATTTATGGATACTTGGCATCAGTCTAGAGACCACTAGTAAGTGCCTTCAAGAAGTAATTGTTTAGCTCAAGGGGGAGTGAGTCATGACTGCTCTGGGCCTGATAATTTGAAGGGGCTCACATTCCTATAATTTGAAGGGGCTCATATTCCTCAGATAAAAAGCTTTTTTTTTTTTTTTCCCCTTCTTAGTACCGGCATCTGGCAAGGGCCTTCTTGCTGCATCATCACATGGTGGAAGGGCAGAGAGAGAGATTGCTTGCACAAATGTCTGAGCATGTGCACACAAGAGAGGGCGAACCTACTCCAGAGATAATGAGATAAGGGCATTAGTCCCTTTGTGAAGGTGGAACCTCTTAATTGCCTCTTAATGGTCCTACCTCCCAGTACTGTCACAATGGCAATTAAATGTCATCATGAGCTTTAGGGTGGATGGACAAACTTTAGACAATAGCACTTGGTAATAGAGAGATGTTTATGGGCTGCCTGAAGATGGTATAGCTGGAAAGCTTTTTCTTTTTCCTTTTCTTACCATCAACTGGGGAAACTGCCACATTCTTCCTCTTCCCACCTGATGGCCCTGCTCTTGTGCTTTACTGAAACAAAAAACAAACAAATGAAAAGGAATGATTCACATCATTATTGTAGTTTTTCCTTTTCTTGTCTTTTATTTAAAAACAGCAACAATAGGCCGGGTGCAGTGGCTCACGCCTGTAATCCCAGCACTTTGGGAGGCCGAGATGGGCGGAT